TGTCCTCCACGCCAGAAGTCGCATCGAGCAAGGTTAGTGTTCTCTCTCTTCGTACTGTACTTTGTGTCATATTTTTGTGGTTTAAAAAAAAAACCCACGTATGGTTCAGAACGGATTAACCGTAATTACACTGAATCTTATGGGAAAATTTGATTCGGGACGCGACCAAAATCGGTTGGCGACCAAATTCGGAGGGGTCAGAACGGATTAACCGTAATTACACTGAATCTTATGGGAAAATTTGATTCGGGACGCGACCAAAATCGGTTGGCGACCAAATTCGGAGGGGTCAGAACGGATTAACCGTAATTACACTGAATCTTATGGGAAAATTTGATTCGGGACGCGACCAAAATCGGTTGGCGACCAAATTCGGAGGGGTCAGAACGGATTAACCGTGTTTACGTTGAACCTTAAGGCAGAATTTGATTCGGGTTGCGACCAATTCGGGTTGCGACCAGAGTCGCAGAACGAATTAAGTTCGTGAACCGAGGTACCACTATATTGGGCTTGTTCCACAATGCTTCCATCCTGTCATCCTAACAAAAATCAATGGGAAGTTGTACCTTGATTGTTCCGTAATTGACTGCCTGATTTCAGTGGTGTTTCTGAGGATTGAGTAGTACCTTCAGTTTTCTCAAAGGTGGCCTGGTGCATTTGAACAAGACAAAAATACTAAATATCCTCCTTGGGAATAGCTGGTTTTTTTCTCCTTCTTGTGTCCACAAAGTGTATCAGTGCCCCTGCTGCTAGTGCGATGCTTCTAATGGGCCTCTGGTATGTTTCCCTGAAAGTACAGTCAAAACCCTGCAGACCAACAGCAGCACAAAGCATTAAGTGAGAACTGCAAAAGCTAGACTAGAGGCTTTGGAACCAGCATTTTGACTATACATTCACTGAGCGTTTTTCTCCACACCTGTCTACAGGTTAGCTGCCTATTTCTTCATTGCTGAGTTAGCAGAGTGGAGAGTTTAGCACAGTGTTTGTCAGCCTTGGCAACTTTAAGATGTGTGGACTTCAACTCCCAGAATTCTCC